ACATATATAGAACACTCTGCCAACAACAATAGTATGTACATTCTTCTCAAATGCACATGGGACATTTTCCAGGATAGACCATATGTTAGGCTACAAAATAAGTTTCTGTAGACTTAAAAAGGTAGGTATCAGACAAAATATCTTCCCCAACTACAGTGGAATGAAGCTATAAACCCAGAACAGAAGGAAAATTGGAAAACTCACAAATTTGTGGAAATTAAACAATACACTCAAAGAACCAGTGGGTCAAAGGAGAAATCAGAAAGGAAATGAAAAAGTACTTTGAGACAAATTAAAACTAAAATACAATATACCAAAACTTATGGAGCAGTTGAAAAGCTGTGCTAAGGGGGAAATTTTTAGCAATAAACAGTTACATTAAAAAACAAGAAAATTCTCAAATCAGCAACCTAACTTTACAACTTAAGGAACTAGAAAAAGAAGAACAAACTAAATCCAGAGCTAGCAGAAGTAAGGAAATGATGAAGATTAGAACAGAGATGAACAAAATAGAGAATAGAGAAAATCAATAAAACTAAAAGTTGGTTCTTTGAAAAAATCAACAAAATTGACAAACCTTTAGCTAGACAGACTAAGGGAAAAAGAGAAAAGACTCAAATTACCAAAATCAGAAATGAAATTGGGGGCATTACTTCTGATTCTTCTGAAATAAAGAGGATTATAAGAGAGTTCTATGAACAGTTATATTCCAACAAATTGGATAAGCTAGATGAAATGGACAAATTCCTAGAAATATAAAACCTATCAAGTCTAAATCACAAAGAAATAGAAAGTCTGAAGAGACATAACTAGAGATTGAATCAGTAATCAGAAATCTCCCAGTTTTGAAAAGCCCTGAACCTGATGGCTTCACTGGTGAATTCTACCAACATTTAAAGAATACCAGCCCCTCTCAAACTTTTCCAGAAAACTGAAGATGAGGAAATACTTCCTAACTCATCCCTTGAAGCCAGCATTACCCTGACACCAAAGCTACACAAAGACACTTCAAGAAAAGAACACTACAGACCAATGCCCCTTATGAACACTGAAGCAAAAAATCAACAACACAATACTAGCAAACCGAATGCAGCAGCATATTAAAAGGATTATACACCATGACCAAGAGGAATTTTT